CGGCTTCGAAATGTTTACGAATGAGTAAATTAGTAATTTTAGGAAGGTCATCATTGATGCCTAAAGTATTGACTTCGGTAAGAATATAATAAGGAAGATGGTTTAGGAGTTCATGTTTAAAGATTTCTTCTGAATATGTACCTACAGCTTTAGTAAGCGAAGTTCTTAATTTTAACAAGAAGGTATTGGGATGATCGGCGAGGTTATATTTAAGTTGTCTTAGCTGGAATTGTGCAGAATACTGCATTGCAGGGGTTTTAACTGCATTGATTAATGTTGTTAAATATTCCCTATAAGTTCTGATGGTAGGATCTAAAGTTTTAGAAACAGCTAAAAGTTCATGGGCTAAAGACTTTTTAAGACATCTTAAACGAGTAGCATCGTCAACATTTTCTTGAGCGAGTCGTTGCTCAGTATTAGTGATAAAATCAAGAGCATCTTCACCTTTCTTAAATTCAGTAACATGAGGATCTGGTTTCAAGTTAGATAAAGCATGAAGGAATATTTGAGAATTGAATTGTGATTCATTTTGAGGAGGGGAAGCATTACTAAATAATGGAGAAGGTTGAGGAATCGGAGATTCAGGAGGGTCAACAATATTGGCACCTAACGCATTCAATATTTGAATAAGTTTGCGTTGGTTGGTAGTGGGAAGAGGGATGGAAATAATTTCATTGAAAGTTGTTCGAAGCATTGCTTCGCGATTACGACCTAATGTTCTTATGATGGTCTGAATTTCTGCCTCGGTAAAACCACTGCGTCGACATGAAGCCATCCAATCGGGAACTTGAAATGTTGTTACCTCTTCGGTTGGTAAACTTTCGATGTCTTCATCGCTGAGCGAATCTCCAAGCCATATTAGATGTGTTTTAATACATTCAATCAATCGCTTTCTGGCCAGGCAAGCAATTGGTGTACTAATATGCCAAGAAGTTAAAGTTTCGGTAACATTGTCAGGAGTCATTTCAAATACAATCGGAGTGTCTGAAGGGACATTGAATTTCTTTCGTCGAGTAGCTGCCATTTATGTTGAATGAGTAATGCAAGTAAATGTTCACAATGATATCACTTTAGTGATGAGTAAAGATGAAAAGTTTTGAGAAAGAGTTCGAAGTGGAACTGGAGTTGAGTTAAAATTGAAGTCGGAATGGAAAGTTTGTGTTTGAATTGGAAGGTTGAGTTGAATTGAGATTCTTGAAGAATGTTCAAAGTTTAAAGATTGAAAGAGTTCAGAGAACTTGAGTTTGAGTTTGAATTAAAATTGAAAAGGATGAGAAGGATTGAGAGTATTCTTTGAAATTTTTGAATTGAATGAAAGATATTGTGTCGGAAGAAATATTCTTTGAGGAATAATCTGAATTAAAAGACTTGATACAAGGTTACCTTATTGGAATGATTAAGTGTAACTGACTGGGAAAGAGATTACGGAGAATCTTTGAATGAGGAGATTTCGATGAATCTTTGAATTTGAAGAGATTGTGGAGAATCTTTGAATTGAATTTGGAATAGTTCACGAGAACTGAATCAGGCACTTAAACACAGGCACGGCGAGTCCGATAAGAGAAGGTCAAAAAGGTCAAATTGAGTCAAGTGGGAAACACAATGAACACACACAGAACTTTAACAGCACGGAAACACAAAAGCGATCCTGCCGAGGTCGCCAAGTGAAAGGTCGGTTACGGTAGCTATCTGATTAGAAGGCTGCAATACTTGCTTTCACTACAAGTTTTTTAGTTCGTATCAAGGACCGATCTTGTATGTCCTAGCTGGCTTGTACATGCACAAAGTGTTGAAGAGATCTCTTGAGAGATGGAACACAATTCAATGAGAATACTGAGAGTTAACTGAAATAACTTTATTGAAATTAAATCAAAATTAACTGAATAGAAGAGCTTCATAAAGAAGGTTGAATATTTCTTGAGAAATAAGGTTTTAATTATAACAATGAAATGAACAGAAGGGTGACTTACAAAAATTGAAAGTGAATTAAAACAGAGGGAAAATTGGTTTTATACCAATGTTGAAACAAAAGGATAATTTTGGAGGGAATAATTAGAAAGTAAAAAGATTTCTCTGTCTTCAAATGTCTGACTGTTAGGTTACAATACTGGTGACAAACTTTTCTTATCTCTAATTAGCATTGCTAAAGCTACAGTACTTTTAACCATTACATGTCTTGAGACATAGATATCTCTAGAGAGATAAGGGTAGCCTTAATAGTGCTTTATGGCTTAACTAAGGTGAACCATGAGTTAAAAAGCGAGTCAAAAAAGAAAGGTAATTTTAACACTCTTTCTTTTTGGAGCTTATTTTTCAACCTTAAATTTCTTGTTTTGGTCTAACCAAAATTGTGGTCAGATTTGCATGGATTAGTTCAGTTAAGCACTTCTTGTGATGGATTACAATTTTCGAGATGCACTAATCTTTGAGTATGGCTAATGGACAGAGGGAATCAATATTGCTTGAGCAATGAAAAACAATTTAAGTTTATGAAAAACAATTATAATTTGAATGAAAATGAATGAGAAAAAGATTGAATTCAGAGATTCAAAGTCAAAAGGAGAGAAGTAGTAAAGGTTGACTATGGACCGGAATGGGAGGAGCCTAATTTTGACCTGCAAAGCAGGTGCAAACATGCCCTAAGGGCATGGCTATTGTTTTTGTTTACAAAAACAAAACAAAAACACATTGTGCCTGAGGGCATTCAGCCCTGCCATAGACCGCCATGTTAAAGGTTTTTCTCGATTTTTTCAAAGACCAAGCATTGAACACACTCGTTTTATATATTGGCAGAAAGAGCGTTTAAAGAGCTTTTGCACAATATATATATCAAGCGTGTACAATGCTTGGTCTTTGAAAAATTCAGGTCCAAATTTTAATTAGGAAATTTTTTAAAAAGTCAATTAATCAAAAAGTAATGATTGACTACACATGATGCTTACATCGTTTTAAAGCCCCTTTAAAGCTCTTTCTGATGGTGCTAAAAAAAGGCAGACTTCTCAGGGTTAGAATAAGCATGTCTAAATAATTACAAAGGAGGTGAATGAATCAAAATAATTTTATTGTATGAAAAATGAAAAGCGCAATCGGTCGCGAAATACAAAATCATTGTTTTTTAGATAAATCCAAAGGTTTCATCTTCTTTGCTTCTGAATCTGAATCTGAATCTGAATCGGAGGAATCAGAAGCTTCATGGAATGCACGTTTTGGTACACGATTCTGTTGTTGTTCTTCTTCTTCATCTTCAGTATCTGAAACAAGATCGATTATTTCCGGTTCAACATTGGCAATTTCCCTGCCAAGCCATAAACAAGTGGAGAGGAATCGGCCACCTTCAGAATCATCAAGTGTAGTTGAGACAGCATTGTGTTGAGGTTGGTAATAATAATCGTCTTCTATGTCGAATATACAATCCAAGCAATATTCTTTTAGCATTTCTGTTGTTGTTCCATGGTCAATTTGGTCGATGATACATCTTATAGTTGATATACAGTCAGCGACTGTCATTTTAATTTGAGATGTTGATGGTGATAGAGAAGACATTTTGCGATGAGTTTAAACAATATTGAATGAAGTGTTCAAAAGATGAGTTGAAACAATAACAAAGACAAGTTGAATGAAGTGTTCAAAAGATGAGTTGAAACAATAACAAAGACAAGTTGAATGAAGTGTTCAAAAGATGAGTTGAAACAATAACAAAGACAAGTTGAATGAAGTGTTCAAAAGATGAGTTGAAACAATAACAAAGACAAGTTGAATGAAGTGTTCAAAAGATGAATTGAAACAATAACAAAGACAAGTTGAATGAAGTGTTCAAAAGATGAATTGATACAATTATAAGGAAAGAATTGCTCGTTTTATACGATTGAAACGTGTTCTATCTCCATTCTCACCCATACTCCCATTTCATTTAAGCCGTTTAACTTTGTTTTTCCGTTGAGAAAGAAAATTAATAAGCTTTTTTTGACATTCATAAAGTTCTTTTGACATTCATGCTCAGTTGCCATAGTTCACCTCCAACTTCAACATTGTTTTCATCATTGTTTCAGTTTCATTGAACATAGCTCACCTTTAACTTCAACATTGTTTTCAATATTGTTTTCATCATTGTTTTAGTTTTAGTTTTTGGTCTTCCCAACATAAATCATCATCCACTTCAACATTGTTAATGTGTTTTGCAGCATTTCACCATTGTTTTAGTTTCTTCAAACATTGATTCTTGTTTACTTCAACATTTCAACATTAACACCATTGTTTTAGTTTCTTCAAACATTGTTCCTTGTTTACTTCAACATTTCAACATTAACACCATTGTTTTAGTTTCTTCAAACATTGTTCCTTGTTTACTTCAACATTTCAACATTAACACCATTGTTTAAGTTTCTTCAAACATTGTTCCTTGTTTACTTCAACATTTCAACATTAACACCATTGTTTTAGTTTCTTCAAACATTGATTCTTGTTTACTTCAACATTTCAACATTAACACCATTGTTTTAGTTTCTTCAAACATTGTTCCTTGTTTACTTCAACATTTCAACATTAACACCATTGTTTAAGTTTCTTCAAACATCTCACCATTGTCTCTTTTTCCCTTCATCTTTGGCTTCAACTTTAAATCATCATCTCAAAGTAAGGTTTTATTAACGTTTCATTAACATCTAGTTTCAGCTTATTCTAGTTATAGGTTAATTAGTGCTAACGCACTCGAGTAAACATTTATTTTTTTGTTTACCTTACAATTCTTTTCTACTTTACCAACAAATTCACTTTCTTAACTTTATAACTTATTTACTTTTCTACTTTACTTCCATATTTAACTCACTCTCAGTTGTTACTTTCATTGTAATCACTTACTTAGCACTTAAATATATATTACTATCTGGATAAACTTTTACTTATATTAGTACTATTGCCATTATCAAATTTGAAAATCCTCTTTATTGAAATTTCTGTGTTTGTTACCACCTTTCCAGCTAATCTTTAAATTCACAAAAACCATGAGCCAGGAATCAGTTTTCAATGTCTCAATTGATTATGAATCAATTGATCAATTAGTTATGGACTTAGCTTTAGAGTGCGAAATTGATGATGAAATTTGCATGGAAGTTGGCGACAGCTATGCAAGACAAGTTTTAGAAGCTGAGTTAGATCAACAACTTAACGATGATATTAATTTTGATGAATGTATCGAAATGCAAAGTTGTTTAGGACATTCATTAGAAGTAAGAGAAGAAACTATGTATGATGCTCAGTTGCCAGTTGAAATGGAAATTGATCTAACTCAACCTTGCCTTGTAACAATGCCTCAAACATCTGATGGAATCATACAGCAAGTTGCTAGTGAACAACCCATTCGTACATCACAAGTAGGTTTTGGAACACCGTCTTCAAATAATGAAAATAGTCATGATCAATCTAGCGAGAGAATTCAAGACATTCAAATAGATTTTGAGGTTACAGAAGAAGGACCTTGGAGGTCTAACCCCACCTTTCACTCTAAAACCAAACTATTGAGAGCCAAACTTGTGTATGATGAAAATAGGATGATTGATTTAATACAAGTTTCTTCAGCTATAGATACAGCATATGAACGTTTTGTAGAAAAACTCATTTCGGACGCATCCTCAAATGATATGATCTACATTACTTTTAGAAATACAAGTGAAAATCGCGAACTTTACGTTGCATTTCTTAAAAGGAATTTCAATAAAGAGACATTTTTAGATAGAGCGTATGCATTAGCACAATCAGCAGGCAGTTTCTTAGATAGTAATATATTTGAAATCAAAGTACAAATTGTAGAGTGCCTTTCAGGAGGAGCCAACAGAATATCACGACTGCAACCAGGGTCACTTCGATCGCATCTCAAAAAAAGTGTTCATGAAATCATTAATGACGATAATCAATGTGGGTATATTGCCATAGCTATAGGTAAATTCCTTGCAGATCTACAGATCGGTGATCCTAATCTCCCCACAAATTGGAAAAATTTGCGAAGACATGAGCGTATTCAGAGAAAACTAGCTGCTGACTTATTTATGTCCCTAGACATGGTATGCGAGACAGCAGTTGATATGAACATTCTGGCGGATATACAAGAAAAACTTGAAAATTATCAAATAATTGTCATCGATCAAAGAACACAACTTAAAATTTTTGGTGGACCTGAACAAGAACGCCAAATTTTCTTGGAATTCACACAGGCAAATCACTACAACGTAATTACTAAGATTGCTGGATACATGGATTGTAATCATTTTTGTACACGCTGTTGGGTCAAAGGAAATAAAGCAAATCACTTCTGTCGCGATAGCTGTTCAAAGTGCTCTAGCGCTTCCCCATGCCGAACTGCAGCGCCAGTTCTGTGTGACATCTGTCACATAGAATTCAATTCCCAAGCATGTTTCGATACACACATTCAAAAATCTATGTGTATCAGAAAGATGAAATGTGAGACATGCTGGATAGTGTACAATGCCGGTCAACCTCATATCTGCGATACATACAAGTGTACGCTATGCAATTGTGATTATACTCATTCCCCCCACTATTGCCACATCAAAGTTTTGGACCCAGAAGAGCTACGTAAAGATGATCAAAAACCATCATTTTTAATTTGTTATGACATTGAATCCATGCAGGTTCCTTTATCAAACTCAGAGTTTGAGCACCAACCCAACCTACTGATAAGTCACACTATTTGCAATGAATGTGCTGACTACAATTCTTTCACTAAAAATTCTTCTAGTTGCGATAGCTGTGGTGAGTTGGAACATATTTTTCAGGGTAGTGAATGTGTGAAAAAGTTCTGTGATTACCTATATAACTACATTGCTCCGATAGCTCACAAAAAGAAAGCAAGAGTCACTATTGTAGCTCATAACCAGAGGGGCTATGACGGGCATTTCATCATTCAAGATTTCTATAAGCGAGATTTCCAAGCAGCACCAAATCTAATAATGACAGGTTCTAAGATATTGTTTGCCTCAATTGCAAATTTACGATTCATAGATTCTCTCAGTCTTTTCATGCAGCCCCTGAGTTCTCTATGTAAATCCTTTAACATCACTGAACTCAAAAAAGGATTTTTCCCCCATCGTTTCAACACTCCAGAAAATCAGAAATACGTAGGACCAATGCCTCAAATTGAATTTTACGACCCCACAAGCATGAAACCTAAGCAATATACAGAGTTCTTACAATGGTACCAACAGCAAGCAGGTGTTGAATTTGATTTCAATAAGGAGATTATAGAGTACTGTAGATCTGATGTCCAGATTCTACAAACATCTATGCTCAAATTCACGACCCTCTTCAAATCGGTCACCGGATTGAACCCAATAACTAGAGGCTTCACTTTGGCATCCATAGCAATGGAGACATTTAGAGCTAACATGTTAAAACCTGAATCTCTAGGTATAACTCCAACTATTGGGTATGGAGATCGCAAACATTCTGTAGTTGGTACTGCATGGCTTGATTCTCAAGAAAAGATGATCGGTAAGAAGATACTTAGAGAGCATAGGATAGGTAACTTCTATGCGGATGGATACATTCCTGAAACAAAGCAAGTGTTTGAGTTCTGGGGCTGCTACTTCCATGGTTGTCCTCTTTGTTACCAAGATAGAACGCACATCATTCGGATGGGGGATCAGGATATTAGCGTATCTGTTTTATTCGATCGTGTGCAAACTAAACGAATTTACTATGCCCATAGAGGGATGACATTACATGAGATATGGGAACATGAACTTGATAAATGTGACCCATACATCAAATCAAGAATTTCTAGCTATGAAATTATCAAAAAAGTTGGTCCCATCAGTATCAGAGAAAGTTTTTTCGGAGGTCGTACTAATAACATCAAATTCCATCACAAATGTACAGGAAATGAACGCATAAGGTACCTAGACTTCACTTCTCTATACCCCTACGTGTTGAAAAAGTACCAATATCCAATGGATCATCCTGAGCTTATTCAAGAAAACTTTGTTGAAATAGATAGCTATTTCGGTTTCATAAAATGTAAAGTTTTACCTCCACGAAATATGAATATAGCTATTTTACCTATGCGAATAGGGAAAAAGCTCTTGTTTCCACTTTGCAGGACATGTGCAATTGAGATGTCACATTCTGTATGTAATCATACCGAGGATGATAGATATCTTACAAATACATGGACATCAATTGAGCTCCAAGAAGCTGTCAAGAATGGGTATAGAATAGTGAAAATTTACCAAATATTACATTATCCAAAACCTGATGAGTCAGATTCTCAATTTGCTTCATATATTCGAATGTGGTTAAAAATTAAACAAGAGGCCAGCGGTTGGCCTTCATGGTGTCAAACCGAAGATGATAAAGCCAAGTACGTTTTCGACTATAAATCTGCTGAAGATGTTGATCTTGATCCATCTAAAATTGAAAAAAATCCTGGCAAGCGTAGTATTGCGAAACTCATGTTGAACAGCTTTTGGGGTAAGCTCGCCCAGAACCAAAATATGCCCAAAACAGATGTGCTGCGTAGTTATGCTGATCTCTGGGGAGTTTTAAATAATCCTGAATTTGAAACTCTAGGTCTGTTTGAAGCAAACCAGGATACAATTATTGTTCAACATAAATTCAATGAGGAATCCATTGAGAAAGTTAACCCGGGTAAGACGAATATAGCAGTTGCAAGTTTTGTTACCGCCTATGCACGATTAGAATTATTTAGATTGTTACAACTAATTGAAAATCATAGAGAAGGAAGAGTCCTTTACTTCGATACAGACAGTGTGGTGTTCATTGAAAGAGATGGAGATCCTGAAATAAAGTGTGGTGACTATCTCGGAGAGTTAACTGATGAGATTGAGCCAGGATGGATCTGCACTCAATTTGTCACGTTGGGACCCAAAAACTATGGATATGAAAGTACTGGCCCTAATGGTGAAGTAAAAGCTACAATAAAAGTGAAAGGGATTAAACTCACTGCTGCAGCTCTCGACATCATTACCATCGAACGCTTAGTTAGCATGATAAGTAACTACATTGAAGGACAACAAGATGAAGTTCTCATTCAACAGTCAAACATAACATCAAACAAGTTTACACATGTTGTTCGTACTCGTTGTTTTGAGAAAATATATCGAGCTGTTTCAGAGAAGAGAAGGATAGATGGAAACAATACCCGACCATATGGTTACAAATCTGAAGAATTTTCGTTAATTTGAAATTTATCTTATAAAATTTGTAAATTATGTGTGAAAAATTTACAAATTTTGAAATTTTCATTTAAGTTTATCAAATAAAGGACACTTGCATTTAAAAAGCATGGTTTATTTTTCCTTCTATTTTTCAAAAGTTGTATACAATTATGAAGTTATGACTAAATAAAGCTCATTTATTTCGATTTTTGCTAAAAATTTTTCTATATTTTCCTCAAAAAGAGGGCGTAGATAAACGTAGAACGACACTTTATAAGCATGCGCCTCCTTCGAATTAACCAGTGAAATTCAGCGAAGACTTCGGGAGCCATTTGCTGCTCCCTCAAAACAGTACTTAAGCACAGCACATTTTCTATTGCCCTCATATCAGTTCTCCTTTTTAAACTCTCCATATACTTTCTAACTTATTTTTAAATATTTTAGTGCCTACACTTGTGCTCTCACTTCATATTTTAAAATGAGTGAATCTAATGACCAAGCTCCTAAACGCTGTCCTGGTAACACTTGGTATCGCATTAGTTGTAAAAGACCAAATGAATTTGAATGACGAAGCCTCCTCTTCCCAACAAACTTCTGAATCTACAAGTGAATACAAGCCTGACTACTCAATTTTCAAATTTGGAGCTCTCGATAAGGATTGGAGTTTGCTCTACCCAACCGATGACACTCATTCTTTTGTTGTTGAAAATGATCTCCGCTACCCTAGTGTTGATCAATATATCTGGAATTGGGTCCGAATCGAGAAAGAGCATTATGAAAATTTGGATGACCATTTCAAAGAACATCTATTTACTCATCTTACTGCTGGATACTATGCTAAATGTAAAGCTAGCCCTGCTACAAGAAAGATGCTCCTCTCAACAGGTTCTAGATTGATTGTGTTCTGCCGCAAAGATGATGAATGGTATTCATGTGGCCTCGATAAGGAAGATGCTAATACCGAAAATCCTGGAAAATGGTGTGGTAAAAACATGGTTGGTCTTGCTTTGATGCATGTTAGAGCTCGTATTCGCGAGGAATGGAAAGTAGAAAATCTTGATGGAAAAGGACAGCGTAAAAGACAGAAGAAAGAGTGAGGATATTTAAAGACTACAATGTTTGTAATCATATGAATGTATTGCTCTTTTTTGAATGTATTACTCTTGCCTAAATAAATCTTCCTTAAAACAATGAATTTTCACAAGTTTGTACATCCTTTCACTTGTATGGTAGCGGGACCAACTTCAAGTGGTAAGACAGTTTTAGTTGAATCAATCTTGAAAAATCATAAAACCATGATTGAGGGCTTATCCTTTGCTCCGAAAATCATCTGGTGTCATGGTCAGATGCAGGATCGATATAAAACTGGCGGTGGAATAATATATCATGATGGATTGGTTGAAGATCCTGAATCATATGAACTTATTGTTGTCGATGACTTGATGAATGAACTTGGAGCAGATAACCGGCTACTTAATCTATTTACGAAAGGAAGCCATCACATGCACATTAGTGTGATATTCATAGTGCAAAATATATTCCATCAAGCCAAGAATATGAGAGGTATAAGTCTCAATTGTCAGTATTTAGTTATAATGAAGAACCCGAGGGATAAATCGCAAATCCATTGCCTTGCTAGACAGCTTTACCCTACCAAATCTAGAAAATTCATTCAAGCATATGAAGATGCTACAAAAGAACCATACAGCTATTTAAAGGTTGATTTGACGCCTCAAACTCCAGAAAATTTACGTATACAAGCTAAAATTCTTGCCACTCAGAAGAACAATTCAACTGTAACCGTTTATGAAATATGATTTCACATGAGTTGCGAGACTCACTTTCAGTCCTTAATGTTGCTGCAAAGATCAAAAGATTGAAACTCAGGCAAAAGTTCTTGTCAGACTACTTCAAGAGAAATCCACAAATATATAAAGCAGTTAAGGAAATCGCTGTTAATCTCGTTCATAAAAATATCCCACTTGATGAAAAGCAGAAGACTAAACTTAGGCGCCATAAAAAGTATATAGTTGATATTGTGAAAGATAAAGCTAAGACCCGGAGACTACGACACGTCACACAATTTGGAGGATATTTACCAATTATAATACCGACTGTATTATCTATAATTTCTTCGCTGATTGATGGCTGAAATAACAAAGAAAGTCTATAAGGTGAACTCAAACGGACATGTTGAAACCCAAAATGGTGGTGCGATTGAGGCCACCTGCAAACCTAAAAATAATTCAAAAACAACCAAAACGAATAATAAAGAAATTATAACTTCAGTGCCTTCTAAATTTTTGATTAATCAAGTCACTGTTATTGCACTTAAACTCGCACTTAAAGGAGCGTATGACTCGTATGGTAGATTAATTTATCAGAAGAAACCACTCATCGGTACAAACATCGTTGATTTGATTCACTCAGTTGTGACTGAAGGAAACTCATGTCCTGGACTTGCAGAATTTTTACAAGTGCTGAAGAACTGCGGCTTAAAACCTTCAACTATCGCCAATAAAAGCATAAGAAAAAAGATTTCTCTAAAACCTTCAACAAAAGATAAGCGAAAAGGCAGCATAATTAAACCAGTCGTGTTTCCAAACATTAATGCTAATTATGAAAGTGATTCTGAATCATGTTTGAATGAAAGGGAACCATGTGAACATTCATCGGAAATACAAACAAACTCACCACCTCCTGAAGCTGTTCAAGAACCCTTAACACCTCATACAGATCCACTTCCGCAGATTCCAGTAAGGAGACTTTCAACAGGAGCTTTGCGCAAAAAGAAACAGAGAAAAGTTAAGAGACTACAGGAACGAAGTCCTTATAACTTGAGAGATGTTAAGAAATGGATCAAGTGGCATGATTGAAAAATTATTATCGGACATTTATTATACTCCAGAGAATCCAGCAAGTTTCGCATCTGCTGATAAACTTTTTCAGGAGGCTAGAAAGATTGATGCATCACTCAAGAAAGACGAAGTGATAGAATGGTTGAAATCCCAACTAACGTATACACTTCACAAACCTGTTAGAAGAAATTTCTCTAGAAATCGCATCATTGTTAGTTCTATTGATGAACAATGGGAAGCTGATCTTGTTGAAATGCAGGAATTCGCACAACAAAATAATGGTTACAGGTACATAATTACTATCATTGACTCTTTCAGTAAATACGCATGGGCGTTTCCAATCAAGCAGAAAACAGCACTCGCTGTCACTAAAGTCTTTACTGAGCTATTCAAATTGAGAAAACCGGTTTCTCTCCGTACAGATAAAGGGAAAGAATTTGTTAATTCAAATTTGCAAAAATTATTGAAAGATAATAATATACGTTTCTACACTTCAAGCAATAGAGATATAAAATGTGCTATAGTTGAAAGATTCAATAGGACATTGAAAAGCAAAATGTTCAAGTTTTTTACTGCAAAGGGTACTCGTAAATTTACTGATGTTCTACAAGCATTGATGAGTGGATATAACAAAAGTTATCATCGTACAATCAAAATGTCACCAAATTCCGTCAATGAAAATAACTCTGATAATGTTTTCAGGAATATGTATGGAGTAGACTCTTTGCGCGCTTTGGTTAGAAAAAATAAACCAAGTCAAAAACTTAAAGATGGCCAAGAAGTTAGAATGAAATACAAACTCAAACCATTTGATAAAGCCTTCTACCCTAATTGGACCGATCAAGTATATAAAATAGATAATGTTGATAAAAATCAAGAAAATGCTGTTTATGAAATAAAAGATTGCGATGGTAATAAAATAAATGATAAGAAATTCTATGACAAAGAATTACAGGCAGTCAACGCTGATTTACATAGAGTTGAAAAAGTAATCCGGAGGAGAATATATAAAGGAAAGATACAATACCTCGTGAAATGGTTAGGTTATCCTGCTTCATATAACTCATGGATCAATTTGGAAGACCTGAAGACATTAACTTGAATGGATCAAAAATGATTTTATTCATTGGTCAGATTTCTACTCTATTCATCATAGTTGTGGCGTCTCTTGTGAACTTATCACTCAACTTAGGGGATCAAAAGCTTTGGATTTCACTACTGTCTATTTCTCTTGGATGTCTTCTGCCTACTCCTAAGATGAATATAAAAAGCAACATTGCGATCGCCTCAGCTAATGATACTGTTCTGAAACCTTGACTTAGTATTTACATTTTGTTTTTGTGTATCGATCTGTGCTGTGTCATAATGAATTCATTTTATCTTACTCTACCAAGCAACACGCTCAATGTATCGGAAAATAAAATATCTGATTTTACAACGTATTTACCTGTCCCATTAAATTTATCTGAAAATTATGAAGTAGCCCTTACTGAAATAACATACACCAAAAGCTGGTTTAATGTACAACAAACCCCTCGCTTTAGTTTATATAATCCTATTGAGATTATCAATGTTAAAGAAATGGGAAAAATCAAACCCTCTTACTATACTTCTCTTCAAAGTCTTGTGCGTATAATAAATGAATCTATAAGAGAAGAATGGGCATTTGAACGAACTATCCTTCCTGAACTGGTTTATGATGAAATGTCACGCTCTTTGTTTATGAGAGAGGGCCGATTATTTGCTGAAAAAAACGATGAACAGGGGATACCTCTACTAGTTCACTTAGGGTATGAGCTTGAAGCCATGCTAGGATTCGAGATTTCCGAGAAAAATTTTAAAGAAAATATGGAATTATTTACTCTATCTGCTATAAACGAGTTCAAACCAAAGATCGCAAATGGTACAGACATGAATGCTGGTATACATTCACTGCTGATATATTCTGATATAGTTTCACCATCAATTGTTGGCAATGTCTACGCAAACTTATTAAGATCAATACCAATTAGTAGTCAAGTGAAACATGGAGATGATGTCAATATGACTTTCACAAAGCCATATTATAGACCAGTTTCTACTACACAAATAGATAGAATCAAAATCAATATAAAGGATGATAGTGGTAAGGATATGGATTTCCGGTTTGGTAGAGCCACAGTAACTTTACATTTTAGAAAGAAATGGAAAGCTATTATTTAAAGCAAGCAGGCGATGGATTACCCATTCAGACTTATGCTGGTATAAAGTATCAGAGAGGATCTGGCTTTTTCGGGCGTGTGTTTTCAACTCATATTCTACCTATTTTAAGATATTTGGGTTCACAAGCCTTAGGTACTGGTAAAGCCATACTCGATGATATAAAGACATCAGCTACGAATAGAGTAATTGATACTGTGAATGAAGTAGCCAAAGAAGCTATAAAAAGAAAACTGCCAAAAAAAGAAGAACAACAATCTGGATCTGGAGTTAAACGTCAAAAGCGAAGTACAAAACGTGAAATATACGATTTTCTAAAATGAATCCAATTCATAAACTTTCGAGTGAGGCTTTTCTTCCTGAACTGGATATATTTACAGTCCCTGCTACTCAAAAATCCATTGAGAGAGGGTATGAAACTCAGCATAGACCCGTTTCTGCCTTAGATGCTAACAGCCACATCGATTTTCATATACCAACATCTAATGATGAATACATACTCTTGCACGAAACTTACATGTATGTGAAAATGCAAATTGAAGCTGCGAAAAATGATGAAAAACCAGTTACTGCTGAAGATTGGGATACGATAACCCCTACCAACAATTTGCTTCATTCGATGATCAAAGGAGTTACATTGTCAATTGGAAATAAAGAGGTAAACATGTCAAATAATTTGTATGCCTATCGTGCATATTTCGACAATCTTTTAGGTTTTTCATCAAGTGCAAAAAAATCACACCTTGCATCATGTTTATGGATGGATGATATTGACAAAAGAAGGAATCTCTTCAAACCGGCTGCCGGGGGTTCGAAAAGTAAAGTTGTAGACCTCTATGGTAGAATACATATAGATCTTACATTCCAAGGTAAAGCTCTAGTTGGTGGTTGTGATCTGAAAATTAAAATCATACCGCACAACATTGATTTTTTCATGAACTACCCTGAAGGTTATAACTTGAATCTGAAGTTATTGGACTGTTCATTATACGTTCATAGACTACGAGCAAATCCTTCACTTCTCTCAGCACACACAAAGGCTCTTGCTATAGCCTCAGCTAAGTATCCGGTAACTCGTGTAGAGTTAAAGCAGATAGCTATACCGAATGGCTCAATGGATGCTATGCTTGATAATATTGTTATAGGCCAGCTACCAAGACGCGTTTTCATCGCATGTGTATCAAATGCTGCTTATAATGGAAATAGATCAGTTGACCCTTTTGTATTCAATCACTATGATATATGTTATGCAGCGTGTTACTATGACGGTGTTCAATATCCTTCAAATGCCTACCAACCCGATTTTGGTAACAATCTTTACGTTAAGGAATACACTGGGTTATTTCAAAGCATGAATATGAACTCTACTGAGACCACTATTGATATTACAAGAGACGAATTCAGTAATGGAAAGACTATTTTTGGTTTTAACTTTGCACCTGATCTATCCAATGGGTGTGGTGTTGTTGGTCATTTGAACTCTATAAAAAGAGGTACATTACGAGTCTATTTGCGCTTTAAGAAACCTATCACTGAAGTAATTGACGTCATTCTCTACTGTGAGTTTGATAATTTAATTGAGATCGATGGTGAACGAAATGTAACAACAGACTATAATTAATAAAGCTTAATGTTTGATTTTGAAATTGCTATGTGTCTTAAAAATTCCCCTGCATTTGCTGGGGTTTTTGCACGAGACAGAATTCCGGAAATAAATTTTTATCCTTGCTATATAATTGTCAACACTGACAAAGCCTCACAGCCTGGTACACACTGGGTGGCTTTCCGGTTAACCCACAATGAGTGTGAGTATTTTGATTCTTTTGGCGTTCCTCCTATCTATGCAGAGTTCCGTAAGTTATATCATAACAGAAAGCTACAATGGAACGGAAGATGTTTACAAAATCCTGCATCTAAGACATGTGGGGAGTTTTGTGTTTCATATGTCAAAGCAAGAATGATGAAACGCTCATTTAAAGATTTCATCACGTGTTTCAATAGAAATACAAAATTAAATGACAAGGTTGTTATACGCATGTGTAAAGCTTGAAATTGTTGAAGAATAACTAACTAAACTCACATTTGACATCCAACCATGGAAGAAGTAAGAATGCTGAAAATTTGTAATATTGTTATCAAGTATGTAGTTCCATTTGATATAAAGCTGGATCTACTTAAGTTTGTCGTTGGAAATGTCGATTATCGTGTCAAAAGATTCAATGGAGCAATAGTGAAGGACTTTGGCTGTTGTTTACTCGTATTCAGGAATGGCAGGATCAATGTTGTTGGTGCGAAATCAGAAATACAAGCGGATAACGCGATAAAGAAATTTTGTGAAGCTGTTCAGCAACCGGGTAGCAGTTACGAGAAATCCATTGTTAACTTAGTAGCTAGCTGTGATATAGAAGAAAGAATTGATTTGGTTATGCTACAAAAAAAGTTTCCCGAATATTTTCAATATTTCCCTGAAATATACCCCGCTGCATACTTTAAACTACCTGATATGAAAGCAAAAGTACTTGTCTTTCACACGGGAAAACTTGTTTTCACAGGGTTTAAAACCAATGAAGATATGAATCATGTATGTGATAAATTAATGCAATTTTTATTTAGAAATAAACATTCATGAAACCAAATAAAGTCTCAACAATCTTTTGATTTCTGTTCTACACAATGGACAGGACTTAATTTTAAGGGTGCAATCATTACAAGTCACTGAATGTGAGCATGGATATAATACACATCCGATTTCGTTTGTTAAACAAACTTTACATGTAAAACGTGAAACGCTGGCAATACTTGTTTCTGGTTGAGGTTCGAAAATAGGTTTATTGATATAGTCAAGTTTGCAATTCGCTAAAAATCTCTTGCCTCGTTTTATGTAGATAAAAGCACAGTTTTGAAATGCATTAGCATGGACTGCCCATGGATCATCACCTATTTGCCAATTTTGTAAAGCACCATCACAGTGATAACAATGAACAATGTCAAACAGACCAGAGTAGAAAAAACCAGCTTCAGCCAACTTTTGCGGACTGATAATATCCTTTAAAGGCCAATCACTGAAAGTGTTTTTTCTTTGGTCGTATGTAGTAAAGTTTTCGTGAACATATCTCAAAGTTCTTGTATTAGGATATCCTCTAGAGATACCAATGATTCTCTTGTCAAGTTGCGGGCCATTTTTATGATTGTAGTTTTCCTTCAAGCGATAAGTTTTCGGACAGCAACCGGCATAAAACTTACGCTGGAAACTCGCAAATCTGCTGAAAACATTTGCCTGTGCGACGATCTCATTAGCTTTTTCTATTCCATGTGTTTCCCTTCTCTTCGGTTTGTGATGTTTAGGATGTGGGAGCATATTTGTGATGGTCTCGATTGTAATAATACGTTGATATGCATAGTCATCCTTGAACACTTGAAGACTGCCATCACCATTGTTCATAACATTTAAATCATCATTAATTTTACAATCACTTTGCGTGGAATTCGACTTCTCACCAAAAATGGGTTGTATATCAGTTCCGATGTTGTTGAGCATAACACCGGAATCTCTACCAGCAATGAATCTGCAATGGGGGCTAGCCAACCTATGTTGAACAAGATGAAATCCTGACATAAATGATACGTTGAGTTCCAGCGAACAAAAAGCACATTTTATCACTCTATCCTCTCCTGTATGAAAGAACCCATCCTCGGCAAAGCTCGACCGTTCACTCCACTTGATACCCCAATCATTTAAAAGGGACTGCATTGTAAGAAAACTTTCGAGTCGTTCATGTAGTGAGGCCATTCTTGGTGGATCAGCATCGAATGTTAAAGGCATAGACATATTCGGTACACAGAGTAAAAAAGACACAAATAATTTAAGATGACTATGAAGCGTAATGGACAACACAAAGTTTCAAAATGAATGTTTTAAAGTTTTGTTTTATTGTTTTGAATTTCAAAGTAAATGTTTGAACACGCCCCTCGTGTGCATGAGGTAAAGTACATTTTAGTTCCACCTACTTCATGATTAAGTAGGCGGGAACAGCAGAAAAGGCAAATGACAAGGTTTAATTTATGATGGTCAAACTCGTTTTAGAATGTTCATGAACAAAGGGTTCGCCCTTTTGTTTTCGGAGCCATCCGCAGTTAGGAAAAGCTTCAGCATGTAAAGCCCAGGGGTCATCATCTTCTTCCCAGTTACGCAGTGCACCATCACAATAAAAACAATTGACAATGTCGAATAAGCCACGATAATAAAAACCTGCTTCTGCAAGTTTTGTAGCCGGTAATACATTTTCAAGGCACCAATCCTTATAGGTTTCTATCCGTTCATTGAATGAAGCGTAAGATGATCTTATAGCATAATTTCTTATACCTACATATTCATCAGTGACTTGGTATCCAGTTGAGAAGCAGACAATCCTAGCATCTAGCCTTCTTTCACGGTCTAGCTCTGTAAGTATTATTGTAGGCGATAATGGATTGGGTAGCTGCATTGTGCGTTCGTATGGAGCCAATCTTTTGAAGAGATCCGAGCAAGCTAATATGTGATCAGATTTCTTCCATCCTTCACGTGCTGTATCTTGAAGAGAATTTTCATTAACAGAAGAGGTCGGTCCTTCTGGCACATCACCTTCATACTGAGCGTCATTGAAAGAACATAGAGCTGCTGGTACTTTTGTGTCAGGAGGAGCAGGTGCTTCCATAGGAGGCTCAGTTTCAGGTAGAACCCCAAATCGCTTCTTATTTGAAAACTTTTTTACCTTACAATGAGGAAATTTTATGTTGCCCACATCTTTTCCCATTACAAAAGGGCAATCCGGTCTAGCTTTACGGTGTTCATACCAGTGCAGGTCCATATGCAATGGAGCATTGTAACACCATCTACAAAATGCGCATTGAATTATGCGCCCCAAACAGGTGTAGTAGAATCCATCAGCTGCTAGTTCATAAATCTTTTCAAATGCGTTTGGCCATTGATCCATTTCACAAAAGAAAGTTTGAATACGGTAACACTCGCATTTCGTTTTTTCTTCTTCGGTCATTGAAAAATTTTGATCATAGTCTGTATGAGAGCACATATTTGAAAACAGAAGTTAACTTTGAAAATTCTTGAGATGAAAGTTTGAAGTGACTTGGGTGAATACTGAAGATTGTATGAAGTATCTGTGTTGAAAATCTTTAGTTTTATACTAAAATTCAGAGGCGTAGATATAGCAACATGTGACTTTGCAAGAACTATATAAGCTGAGACAGGTGTTGTATGAGAAAGTGAAAGTAACTTATTAAAGATTTAACCTAGGCTTCACACTCTAATTCTTTAATCTTTTTCAAAAATAAATTCTTCTCTCATTCTTAGTAAATAAGATTGTAAAAGGTCCATCAGGCAAAAATACTCGATATCAATCAACGAGAAAGGAGTTATTGGGGGATTAGTAAATCTATTTTAATTAGCTTTATTTTAAGCAGTGAAAGTATATTTTAAAATCCATATCGAGGGTATTTATTGATAATGGATGCATGATCCGATTACTTATATATTGTTTGCTATTACGATAAATGAATTAGCGATTTAAATCACTTTGCTGATTAACCCCTCTCCTAATTCATTGCTGAAAGCATGGTAGCCAACATTCTAAAATGGGGGGAGGGGTGTCTTGACTTTGAGCAATTTCCCCCCCCCCCTATTCGGGGGAAAATAGGCTCCTCCCATTCCGGTCCATAGTCAACCTTTACTACTGAGAGATGCATTGAATTAAATTCAGTAATCAGAATTTTACCCTACAGACCTCAGGTCATGACTGATTGTAAATTTTTTCCTGAATACAATAAATTTGATCCACATTTAAAAGACTTAAATTATTAATGAACTAACCAGCCAAAATAAAATCTGGTTGCAACACAACTGAACATGAAGCAAATCGAACGTTGAAATTTCAAAGCAATTTTATCAAAACCGTCAACCAGATAAATTTTTAAATCGCACAAATAGGTTCAGTTT